AGAGAGAGAGAGAGAGAGAGAGAGAGAGAGAGATGGTACAATAGCACTCGTGTTCTGCTTATTTTATGGTCGATTGTGCAATTCATCCCATGACATTGTTACCAAATTGAAGATACTCATGCTATATATTTTAAGTAAAAATATTGGTGCTGATGGGGTTTGTGATCCGGTGGTGGGGAGACAATGCATAAACATCGCTGATATAGTTTTTGGATCCAGATCGAAATCACGCTGTGACTGATTTAGCTGTGAAGAGGATGAGTTGCTCTTGCCTCCCGAACCGTGTGATATATATTGAGCCAATGCCAAAGGGAAGGAAAGAAAACTGAAACACCAAATTGAACATTCAACTGCAAAGTACACGACCTTTCTCTTTTCCAAGATTTGCACGATTGGGTTGAGAAGTTTCTTCTATTGCCACAATCGCAGCAAACCTTATCCCAGGCTTGTGGAGACAAATGGATCAATGATACTAGATGGATCTTTGAGGCTCCTGGATGTGTGTGGCATCATTAAGGATGCCCTTTTGCAAACAAAGGAGTGCACACATGAACTTCAATCGATTATGCACAGAAGACGAGGAGGTGACATGAGCTTCATGAGTGAGGTTAGAAAATACCTTGCCTCTAGGAAGGATGTCAACAAGGCAATGAACAAGGCCTTCAAGGTCAAGAAAAGTTAGGGAACCGACAAAAACCATGAAACTCCAGCTGTGATCAACATGTTGAAAGAGTTAGATGCAGTAACTGTTGCTGTGTTTGAATCCTTGTTGTCCTTCATAGCTGGTTCGAAATCAAAGTCAAGCAGTTGGTCATTAGTTTCCAAGCTAGTGCAGCCCAAAAGAGTATCTTGTGAGGGTGAGGAAACTGCAAATACGAATGAACTTGAGAAGGTGTATGGTGCATTGAATGCCCTTATTATTCACAAGTCTAAGAAATCTGATTATGCAATGCAAGTTGAGAATGTGCAAATTTGGCTCCAGGATTTGGAGGCAAACATTCAAGATATAGAAGAAGGACTTGAGTGCCTGTTCAGGCGCTTGATCAAAGCCAGAGTCTCTCTTCTCAACATTTTCAACCATTAGGGATGAAAATCATCGAATTTTGTAGACATTGAATAAACATACTTGTATATGAAAGAGATGTATGTGTATTTTCTCATCAGATCCAAAATATATCTGTTCTATGTCTTGCTTTGTCCATCTTTTTAAATTGTGCAATCCTGATGACAGATTAAACAAACAGTAAATTCAATTTCCCATGCATAAATAACCCATCAAACAGAATAAACAATACAATGATTTAATGGAATGATCTCTTGCAAATGTTGAAAAACTTGAGGGTGAATAACTTGAACCATTTTTTACTCAAACAACTTGAGGGTGTTAAAATTCAGTCTCAAGAATTTTGTGCAATTTAATTGACATTATAGTTGTCAAGATTCCAATTCTCTCAACAGGCAGGAGATGATTATGCACAAATAAATCAAAGATAATCAATACTCACATGGTAGTTTGCAGATTTGAATCTCCACATGGTTGCTTTTCTTTGTGGTAACAGCCCCATATAATGAGTCTCTTTGCTTATTAGCCTCGATTATTTTCTTGAGACAGACAGAGACGTGGCAAATGCTGATCTTGCCTTCTCTGTGAACACCCACAATTTGATAAATAAATAAATTAGCAACATGATTAATTGTTGTGTTTGCATTTACATGTGAGCTATGCAATGGACCTGCATGTAACAAGGTTGTGAGTCTCTGGCACAGACAATATGTGACCACATGATTTTAATTGATTTCTTAATGTAAAATATTGTGTTAGGTGATCATTTCCATTGAATTTATATATTTGCGGTGCAGAGTTATAGAGAACTCGTCTCCATGGAGGCAGGCAAGTGGAGCTAGAATGCTGGATAGAAGAGTTATTGCCTTACTGTTCTATATATTCTATGGTTTGTTGTGTAGTTACCTCTTTAAAGATGCTCATCTTATATTAGATTTAAAACAGGGTTGGGTGATCAGTGGGTGATACGACCACCTCCTAGTATAGCCGGCTATACTATTTTAAAACCCACAAACCAGGTAAAGCCGTGCGGCTGTCCTATTTTAAAAAGAATTAAGACGAACGGGTATAGCCGGGCGGCTGTACTTTTAAAAAAAAAATTAAAAACCACATGCAGCAGCGGCTGTACTATTTCTTTTAATTTAAAAAATTAGGAAAAAACCAAGTATAGCTGCACGGCTATCCTATTTTAAAAAAACCAACTATAAGTGAAAAAAACAGAGTATAGTTGTGTGGCTGTACATTCATTCATAGTTAGTAAAATACGGAACGGGAAAAAATACTAATAAAATACGTACGTGTTTGATTCGGAATTTTTTTTTGCAAATTACAACTTAAATGTTGGGCCACTATATTTTTTTTAAATATCTATTATTTTTATTCAATAATATGTGAGAATTATGTGTATAATATGTGAATTTTGTGTGCCTGATTGAAATTTTTGTAAAAAAATACGTCTATTAAACATGACAAATACGTACGTACCTGTATTATACGAGTATTGTATGTTTGTTTTTTTTTAATGTGAACTTTACAGAGTCGTTAAGATGTGTGCAGAACATAAATGTATTAATGAAAATACATATGTACGTGTATTACATTATTAAACATGAAAGTGCTAAATTGTTAATTGGTTTCATCTGTAAATATGTTTTAATTATTATTTCTTTAGTGAACCAATAAATATTTTAATTAACTTCATAAATTATATTACTTAATAAATGATAATTATTTAAATACTAATTATTCACTAAGTAAATAATAATTAAAATATAACTACTCAATAAAGTAATTGAAAAAGAGAAATCACGACTGTGCTATTTAAAGGGGATAGCCGCGCAGCTATACTTTGAAAATATTCTATTTAAAGGGTATAGCCGTGCGGCTATACTGTTAAAATTCTATTTATAGCGTATTCCATTAGGTCATCTTCTTCGCGTTTACCGCCTGTTTGCTGCCGCCGCAAGCTCGTGGACCAGATCCAGTCAAATCTTCTTCGCCTAGTTTACCACATGGTGCTGCCTAAAGCTATCGGAGATGAAGGATCCGCCCAGACGCCCAGACCCTCCCAGGCTGCGCCTAGGCGCCGCCTAGGCCGATTTTTTGAACACTAGCAGCAGATGCATGTGTATGATCTTAAAAAACCAGTTGGTAGGAAATGGAAGGTGATGAATGATTCTGACACAGACAATGTACCACATGAATATAAATTAATGCCAAAATATTTCCTGGGCAGAGTGATACAGAACTCGTCACTGGGGACGAGAGGCAGGCAGAGCTAGAATGCTGGATAGAAGAGCTAGCTATTCCCTTTCATTAATATATATATATATATATATAGAGAGAGAGAGAGAGAGAGAGAGAGAGAGATGGTACAATACCCCTTGTGTTCTGAATATTTTATGGTTGATTGTGCAATGCATCCCATTACATTGTTTACCGAATTGAAGATACTCATGCTATATATTATAAGTAAAATATAGGTGCTGATGGGGTTTGTGATCTGGTGGTGGGGAGACAATGCATAAACATCGCTGATATAGTTTTTGGATCCAGATCGAAATCACATTGTGACTGATTCCGCAGTGAAGAGGATGAGTGGCTCTTGTCTCCCGAACCGTGTGATATATATTGAGCAGATGCCAAAGGGAAAGAAAGCAAACTGAAACACCAAATTGAACAGTCAACTGTAAAGTGCAAGACCTTTCTCTTTTCCAAGATTTACATGATTGTGTTGAGAAGTTTCTTCTATTGCCACACTCTCAGCAAACCTTATCCCAGGAGTGTGGAGACAAATGGATCAATGAACTACTAGATGGATCTTTGAGGCTCCTGGATGTGTGTGGCATCATTAAGGATGCCCTTTTGCAAATAAAGTAGTGCACACATGAACTTCAATCCATTATGCGCAGAAGACGAGGAGGTGACATGAGCTTCATGAGTGAGGTTAGAAAGTACCTTGCCTCTAGGAAGGATGTCAACAAGGCAATGAACAAGGCCTTCAAGGTCAAGGAAAGTTATGGGACCGACAAAAACCATGAAACTCCAGCTGTGATCAACATGTTGAAAGAGTTAGATGCAGTAACTGTTGCTGTGTTTGAATCCTTGTTGTCCTTCATAGCTGGTTCGAAATCAAAGTCAAGCAGTTGGTCATTAGTTTCCAAGCTAGTGCAGCCCAAAAGAGTATCTTGTGAGGGTGAGGAAACTGCAAATACGAATGAACTTGAGAAGGTGTATGGTGCATTGAATGCCCTTATTATTCACAAGTCTAAGAAATCTGATTATGCAATGCAAGTTGAGAATGTGCAAATTTGGCTCCAGGATTTGGAGGCAAACATTCAAGATATAGAAGAAGGACTTGAGTGCCTGTTCAGGCGCTTGATCAAAGCCAGAGTCTCTCTTCTCAACA